TTTGTTGTGTGGCGCCCCGTGTTTTTTCGCGGGGGGGGGGGGGGGGGGGGGGCAGAGACTCCACACACCCACTCTCCGCAAAACCCCTCTGAGCACGAGAGGTTTGGGATGGCTTTTGAAAGAAGGGCAAGGACAAAGGGCCTTTGAATCAAAAAACAGCATGAAGGCATGGGGCTGCTGCCCAGCTGCAGCCTGGGGAGCGAAGCAAGCACGAGCCCAGGCAGGCATGCCGCGGCCAGGGCCACGTGGGTGCTGCCCCCCAAAACCCCTGGGGTCTCCTGGTCCCCAGGACGGTTGTCACCACCCCAGCGTTACATTATCACCCAGACGATCGGGGGGTCTTCAGCCCTCCGTCTGCAGACACAGCTCGTGCATCAATGTCTCCTGGAGCAGCTCCTGAGTGAGTAACGGGCCTGGCAGCACGGGGCACCCAGCCGCCTCCTCGGAGCTGCTCCAGCCATCCTGCATTTCTCCCAGCACAAATGTTCCCCTGTGCTGGCATCACTCACCGCCAGAGCCTGGGGGGGGTCTTTGCTCACGGGGGCCACCCCACCTCCTTTTCCGGAGCCACCAGCCCCAAGCAGTGATGGAGAGCACTAGGCAGGCAACCCAAATTAAAAACAAAAATGATTGCCAGCACAGGTGCTGAAACCTGCCTGGCTGAAATAAGCAGCAATAGCCACAGGCAAAGGTATCTGTGGGTGCTCAGTCCTGCCTGGCGTGCACTGGAAGCTGGGCCTCCGCGGCACTTAGTGCCGCAGGACAGGTCTTCTGTGCAGTTGGCCTGGCGGGAAGCAGTATGGCCAGGCTGCATGAGGTCGTTCATTTTTATTTTTTTAATTAAAGGTGTGAGGAGGAGGGGTGAGAGCAGATTCCCCATGAAAGCCAGAAAATACTCTTTTATTACCAAGGAAAATGGCATTAGGAGGGAAGAAGGGGGGTGCATAATGCAGAAACCCCAGCATGTTAACTGAATCAGAGACTTGGGGTCTGGGCTGACGGTAGCAGCAAAGACGCCAGTTTTCTCTGATGACCGATGCGGCACCCAAGCATCATGCAGAGCGCCAAGGAGATTTTGCAGGAATTGGTAAACCTTGTGCAGAAATAGCCTGTAACAGCCAGGAGCCTGGAGACACTGGTGCTCCCAACCCCTGGAGATGTGGTGGGGCTCCGCGCACCAGCTCTGGCCATGGCTGCCCAGCCTGCCAGCTCCCAACACAGGTTTTGGGCCACGGGGAGCCTGCGTGGGTGCGCTGGGGTCTCCAACTTGCTCTCCCCAGCACATGTTGCTCACTGGGAGCTTGGCTCTGGGGGCTGCTTTGTTCATCTCAGCAAGGATCCAGCCAGCAAGTAGGCACTTGGAGGGCTTTAAGGCTGTATATTTAATATGAGCAGGACCCTCAAATCCCTTTAGGTAAGTGCCGCTAGGGGGGTAACACTGTCAAAAGGCTAAGGGCACTCTGCATGGTCTGGGGGAGTTTCTTTGCATTTGTGTGTCCCTTTGCACGGGACGCTTCCCATGACAGAGGTGCCATCAGGCTGCGTGGCCCCCGTCGCGGCCGGGGGGCAGGAACACAACTCACATCTCTCTCCTTTGCAGCCCTCTCTAGCTGTGGAGAAGTCGCCCCGAGCCTCGAAGGTGAGTGTTGACAGGGGGCCATCCCTCCTGGAGCCCGGAGCCCATGCGCAGGTCCTGTGGATGGGGGCTCACCAGCACAGCACATGCACCTCAACCTGCGCTCACACCTGCACCTCTCTGTGCACTTCCCCAACTGGTGCCTTTTCCTTCCTGCCCCATTTCATGAGCAGACCTCACTGCCGTTTCAGAGCGTGCCAGTGCCCAGGAGCTGGGCATATCTCCTTGCAGTAGGAGAATGAGCAGCCCAGGGCTTCCCAAAAGCTAGTCCTGCCGGCTGCAATGGTACTGCCAGGTTCCCGCGTGCCGATGGGCACCCCAGCACCATCACACAGTGGAAAACATGCCGATAGCTTGCGGGGAGAGGAAGAAAGCCCCTAATCCCTACGCTTTCCCCGCAGAGCCTGTTTTGCAGCTTGCTGGCACAGGCTGCCGGTGCTCAGGGGTGCTGGAGGTGAAGAAGCACGGCCAGTGGAGTAGAGTGTCCTGGGACGGAGCGAACAGAGTTGCTGCTGCTGTCTGCAAGCAGCTGGGCTGCGGGCCCCCCACTGCTGAGGCCTTCCAGCTCATCTTCTCCCACGCGAAGATGCCTTGCATGAAGCCGTCCCAGTGTGGAGGGAAAGCAGCTCCGCTGGTGGGGTGCACCTGGATACTGGCCAACTGCACGGACTACGTCACCCTGGCCTGCAGTGGTGAGCCTGGCCACCCGCCCCTGTCCCAGCCACCCCTGCAGCCCCCCGGCCTGGCCAGCCCCAACTGGTGCTTCCCTTGTTGTTTCAGAGCCGGCCGAAACCACCACCGAGCCCCGGCCGGCACCTGAGACCACCACGCCAGAGCCTACTGGTAAGAGCCTGTCCCTGCCCAGCTCCACCACTGGCTGCTCTGACCATGGCACAGTGAAAGGTGTCCATCAGCCGCAGTGCAGCAATGAGCCCCGCTGCGAAACGGGAAGCAAACATGCCAATGCAACCCGCGAGACATGAGTATTTCAGTGAGATCCCTGGGCCTCATTAATGGTGTTTGCAGTGTTAATGGTGCAATTAAGTCTCACCCGCTAGTGCACAGCAGGATCAGGAGGTGATTGCTATGTCAGTGTTGTCCCCTTGATAGGCATATGGGGCAAGGGGACAGTTGGTGGGTTGTCCCCTCTCTCCGGTGTGCTGAAGGGCAGGTCTGGACCGTGCAGGTGCGGGGGACGATTATCGGCTTCATGACAGCATGTGGGCCAGCGGCTCCATGGCTTGGCAGCCACAGCAAGCGGGGTGGCCCAGATGCTGCACACGTAGCAGAGGGACGGGTGGTAGACACAAAGAGTGAGATACCCTGGGGATGTGCCTCATACTACAAGGAGAGTTGCACGCGCAGATGGAGAGATCACCTCTTCAATTAATAGGCAAAGGAGGGATCTGCTCCCTGTGCAATACAGCATCTGGCAACTTTTTGCCAAATAAGGTTCATAAGTGACATCCTGGTCGGTAACGAGCCGCGCTCTCTGTGTCCTCTTGCCAGGTGCTGCTAGGCTTAGGCTGGTGGATGGGAACTTCAGCTGCTCAGGGTTCGTGGAGCTGTACATGCAGGGGCTGTGGGGCGCCGTGGGGGTCAGCGCGGGCGCCTGGCCCGACCTAGCCACCCGAATCTGCGAGGAAGTGCATTGCGGCAGCCTCATCGGCAACTACATCACAGCGCCGGAGGCGGGGAGCCACTTACCGGTACAATGGGAGATGGTGGGGCCCTGCGAGAGCTACTCAGTCCTGGACTGCTTCAATCGAACAAGTGACAGTCGGGGGAAAGTGCCTGCCTTCGTCATCTGCTCCGGTGAGACAGCTTGTCCCCGGCACGGGGCCACCCCGGTTGTGTGTCCTCCCTTGGACCAGCTCACTAGTCCCATGCCCATGAGCTGGACAGTGTGAGGTGAAGGCAGGCATGGTGAGGGGCTGGGGGAGCACAGGGTCAGCATTCAGGGTGTTATTCCTCTCCTGCAGTGCCAGTCCTAATTTGGGCATCTGGTGGAGACAGAAGGACCAGGTGCTTGCGAAACTGGACCCCCTGCTTCCAGCCGGCTGCAGGCCAGGCAGCCAAAGCCCTGCATAAGTAGGGATATAATCCCTTCCCGCGTCTCCTATCGGACCCCTCCACCCGACGGTCCCCCATGGCTCTGCGGCTCCTCCTGCACCTGTGCGGCAGGAGTTCCCATGGCTGCCCCACGCACCCCCTTCGCCCCATGCCCCAGGCATCCACCCACTCCTGCACTTTTTCTTTCTTGTACAAAGACAAAACAGGAAATCTCCATATCACGCTCAGTTCCTGGAAGCCCCATGCCATTGCAGCTCTGGGTTTCAAACAAAGCAGCGCTGCGGTGCACAAATAGGAAAGCATGGGAAAGAGCAGAGTGCAGAGCAAATGCAGCGCTAGCACCCTGAAACTCGGCACATGCCAGCGGATATGAGGTGCAGCGGCAGAGCACAGCACCCTTGCTGTGCAAGGGCAAAGCAAAGTACTCGCTCCTGGGGAGTGCGTGCAGGCGGGACGCTGAGCCCGTGCCCTGCTTCGTTTTCCTGTCCCGCGCAGCCGCCCTGACCCTGCTCTGCCTCTGTCCTGCAGGCTCCCAGCCCCGGGCCATGCGGAGGCTGGTGGGAGGCCTGACCACCTGCGAGGGGTACATTGAGGTGTTTCACGGGGACCGGTGGCAGGTGTTGTGCGACGAGCCCAGGCAGCGGGCCGAGCGGGGCAAGCAGGTATGCCAGGAGCTGCGGTGCGGGAACCTCTCCTCCAGCACCATGCTCGAGGACCCCCCAACGATGGGCATCACCTGCACCGCTCGTGACCTCCACCTCTGCCCTGCCAGCCACAGAGGGCTCCGGACCTGCTCCCGTACCAGGATTGTGTGTAAGCAAGAGTGCGATCGTGTCATGTTTGCGGAGCCAGGATTTACCCTTGCAAATGTCTGTGGGCTGGTGGAGGAGGTGACTCTGGGGCTGCAGATCAGGGATGGCACTGGCAGGCACAGCGCAGGAATATCCTTGCCCAGACAGCCTCCATTGCCTGCTGCGGTCCCAGAAGGGGTGGCTGGGCTGCCACAGGTCCAGGAGACAGCAATGCCGGCGGCTCATGACATCCATCCATCTTCTCTCCAGGCCAGGACTCCAAGCCGCGTCCAGCCAGCCTGGGAGCCGGCACCATTGTGAGCATCTTCTTGGCCCTGATTCTCTTTGGCATCCTCCTGCTCATCTGCGGACCCCCTGCCTACAAGAGACTGATGAAGAAAAGTAAGTGACAAGCTCTAAGCTGGACATGCTGGTTTCCACAGCACCTCCACCTTGCATCCACCCTGACACCTGAGGAGATGCATAAGTGCTTTGCTCTGGCCGGCCTCTCCGCAGCTGGGGCTGGGTGCTTCCAGTGGGACCATCCCCGCCCTGGTATTCGGGGGCACAAATCCCTTTTTCCCATTGTCTCCCTGTGTCTGACCCGTGCGGCGCTGACACAGAAAGCCTCTCGGATCAGATGGTGCTGTGCATTTTGCACGCTGGGGGAGGATTAAATGCGGAGCAGACACAAAAGAGCAGGCGGACTGTGTTTCACAAGCCATGCCTAGCATCCACCTCACCGCGTGGCAGAGGGCTTACTGGGTGCAGCAGATTATTTGGCATGGCATATGGGGCCCACGGGCAGCAGCCACGGGGTAGAAAGCGGTCAAAGGAGACGCAGCCCACTTCTGGCAGAGGGATCAGGCAGTTCCTGGGGGAGATCCGATAGGTCCTATCACACCGCCCTCCCCTTCTTTCCCTTCCAGTCTCCAAGAAGAAGCAGCGTCAGTGGATTGGCCCCACGGGACTCAACCAAAACGGTGAGGAGCACACGTGGGTGGGCAAGGAGGGGAGGTGGGTGGCAGCGGTCCCTCCCTGCACCTCTCCCTAATCCCCGTGCATCCTCTGAAAGCCGGCCCCCGCTCCCAGCCATGGGACTCGGGTTTCGGGACTCGCTCAGAGGTCGCTCTCACTGAGCTGCCCCCAGACCACAACACAGGCAGCAGGGCTGTGGTGCAAGGGGCCTCCGCGCCAATCCACTGCTCTGGCTTCCTGCCGCCCACCGCTGCTCTGACTCACCGGCGCCCTAGTGACTCAGCAGAGAGGGCTGAGCCTCACGCGCACCCTGTCCCACTCTTACTCAGCCCCTCCGCACCGCTAGCTTGCCTGGAGGCCTCCCTCCTTGGGTGCAAGCAGAGACCGTGGCCACGGGCCACTTGGTGCCCTGCCTCACAGGAGAGAGGATGGGAGGACTCAACCTTCTGCTGAAGCAGTTGGCACCGAGAGCCACCTCCTCAGTCCTTAACGCTCGCTCCCTCCTGCCGTCCGTTCCAGTTTCGTTCCACCGCAGCAGCACCGTCAACCTGAGGCCGCGGGCTGAGGGGCCGAGGGCACAGGGGGAGGACAATGACTATGCACAGCCTCCCAAGAAGAACCCCTACCTGTCAGCTTATCCAGGTAAGGCATCGTGAGGAGAATGCAAGGGAATGACTTCTCTGTGCGCCCTTCCTGCCCACGTCAGCGGGGAAGAACCAGACTGGTGGCGTTTGAGGGAAAGCCACGTCATAGTGAGATGCAGTCGTCGCTGTTGTTGATGCTGGGTGATAGGCTGCTCTGGGGCTGGAAGACTGCTTCCCAGCCCTTCCACCTCTCCTTGCCGACTCAGGGAGATATGGAGCACGCCATAGTTTATTCCCTTCACAGCTCTGGAAGGTGCGTCCCGATCTTCCAACCCTCCAGACAATTCCTCCGATAGCGACTACGACTTGCACTCTGCCCGGAGAGTGTGACTTCCCTGCAAGAGGTAAGACCATCTTGGGCTCCCTTTTCTTCCTGGCCTGAGCCATCTTCTCCTGTCCTGTTATCTCCTCACTCAAAGCTATCACAGGACATTCATGTGCATGACAGCTAAATTGAGCACCTGCTGAATTAGCCTGTCTGTGGCTTCTTAAACTTTAGCAAACATGAGTCTTGTTTTCTACATCAGTCATTTTCTTGACCTGCAGACAGAGGTGGGATTCAACATACAGGAAAAAAAAAAAATAATAAAACTGACAAAAGAGAAGACAAATACCTGAGAATTCTGCACTGATCACCTTGGAAGAAAGCCTTTCTGTGTTCCCCTACAGAGATGTAATGGCTCTCATCCTGCTTCCAGGGAGGGAGACTGGGGAATACCTCTGCAAGCTGGAGACCTCCCCGGTCTGATTTCCAGCCGTGTGGTGTTCTCAGAGCCCCCACTAAAGTCAGAGCTAAACCTGCTGGTGCTCCTTGCAGCTGAACGTCAAACCTGAGCGCTTCATTCTGGACTGCCCAAACTCGAGGCATCGAAGATCAGTATCTGCTTGCGACAAGCACTGATTGCAAATCTCTCAGCTCTGACCTAATCTAGCTTGGCTTTGGCGCTCTGCTATCACCCTGGTATCTGAGCACCTTTCCGAGAAAGCTTCATCTCACTTACCCTCTTCTTTATAGGTCTCCCACCTGAGAGTGTACAAGGTGGGGTTTTTTTAAGCTATTCACCTGAGCCTTAAAGGCCCACAGGTAGCAGCAGGCCCTGTGTCTGCACAGAGAACAGAGCCACAACGTTCACAGTAGTTTGGGACGGGGTTGCCTGCTTCTCTGTCGCTCTAAACTAGGATAACCACACTCCTCACCCTGGTGGGGCCAGGCTGAAAGCAAAATCTGCTGCTGCCTACAGAGCTCTCAGATACCACGGGGATGAACTCCATGAAAAGAACTGCCATATCCTCGTCCTCTGAGTCACTTAGTGAGCTGTGAAGACGCAAGCTTGGCTGCGTTTGCCACTCGATAGAAGTCTAGATGTTTGAAGGAGAGTGGTTAGCTTGGGATACTGCCTGCATGCACATGTGAGTGGGGCTTGAGTGAATGCATATGGGAGAGTGTGAGGTTTGTGCAGACATATAAAACAGCACAGACACACGAGGAGAACGGGAAGGATAAAAATACTGAAAACAAACCTGAGATATTTAATAAGCAATGACTGTTGTAATAAAATTGTTTTTCTAGTAATTATGTCTTGTTCTCTTCCTTCCAACACTACAAATGCCGTTCCTTAGAGCACCAACTTCCCAACTAGTGAAGGAAAACGGGGAACAGAAAATGACAGCCCACGGGATGCATAAGAGATAGTGCTAGAGGAGGGAAGAGATCGGCTGATGGAGAAGAGCACTGCCCAAACAGGCCTGTTAGGAAAGATGAAAACAAGAGAGCAAGATGGCTCAGAAAGAAGGTAGTCCTGCAAGAGGGTGAAAGGTTTTATTGACAACATCAAGAGGAAGTTGGTCTAAGGACACCAAAAGGGCATAAAAAGATCAATAGACAATATCAACCAGATGCCACGTCATTTCCCAAAACAATCACTGCCATGACCCCGCATGCAATTCATCAAGTTTTATTATTGTAATTAACCACAGATATGGAATTGTTTCCATCAAATCCCAAAGGCATTCATCCTGATCTAGTCCATTAGTTATCTTTCCTTATAAATAACTTAGGGGGATACAAGCAGAATTCGGAGCATAAAGTGCTGAGCAAAGCTAATCCCATTTCCATTAACAACTTGTCATTCACTCTGTTATCTAGTGTTTCCTGAGGAGCGAAGGGAGACAGTGAGGAACGCTGGAGCCCTTAACATCCAGAATAAACCCTCCTTTCCCCCAGGGCACTTGAGGAGAGAGGCAGACGATGTGGTAGGCTGTTGAGGCCCCTGTGTTTCACAGAACCGTACTGGAGGCCAGCTGTGAAGAGCCGGATGGCAGGTACTGATCCCCACTCTTCCCCAGCTTCCCGTGTTCCAAGACACATGCCTCCTTACCCCTAAAGTAACAGCAGCTCCCAAGACATCATGCCAACCCAGTTTACTTCAAAAACACATGTAATATTCAGGTGTTGAACTCCAGGGAGTTACCAGAGCCTTGGTGCTTCAGTGAGATAGTGCACAACCAGCACAGGTGGGGAACAGCTCCTATGCTGGACAAGACGGAGTGGTAAAGAGCCTCACTGGTGAGCTGGGAATACCTGAACTCAGTGGAGTCGGGAACCACCTCTGCTTTGGACTAGACTGGTACTCACTGGGCAAATGGAGGCAGCTGTGAGGAAAGCCTGACCTCACAGTCAGCTGGGAAAGGCTTGAGCAGAGCTGGTTTACAAGTTATTCTGCACCAGCATAAAGAACCCTGACACGCCTCAAGGCTTGGCCCATCCCAACAGGCTAGCTAGCTGCTTCTCCCTGCAAAGACACATTATGAATCGATTGCCAGTCTGGCTGGCTCTGTTTCTCATTTCCAAGAAGGCCCTAGGGAAGCAATGAGCATTTAGTATTAGAAATACTGTCAGAAGATTCCCACTGTGTCTTTTGAACACCTGTGAAAAAGCTTAGAATTATTATACTACATATGTTAGAGAGAGAGAGAAAACTACACGCATACAAAGAAGAGTCTCTCTCGCTCACCCATGCAGACACACACAGAGGAGTCAGGTTCTCAGCTGATGTGATCAGTGCATGTCATTCCCATGTATCTCAGTTGAGAATCTAGCTGACTACTTGTATTTTATCTCAGAGACGGGACTAACTGACTTGTAAGTGGCCACTTCAGCCAACAAGCAATCATCACAACCAACCTAAAAAGGTGCAGCCCATGGAGATAGCATCAGCCTCACTGACCCCTGGTGCCTCTGCTGTCTGCCTCACATCAGAGCCATGCCTCTTTTCCTATATAATACTAACACATGGACGGGCCTAAGAGCAATGCTCTCGGCTCTTTCTTCTTCCTCAGTCCACGAAAAGGAGGGAGCAGCAGAGCATACTCCCCAGGAGTCTTGATTTAGTAGCCAGGCCAAGCAGGGCGCTGAGGGTTTGGAGGCGGGGGGTACACAAAGGGAGGGGGTAGACCAGAGGGATAGGGAGGCTGTGGGGGGACTGGGAAACTAGGGAGGGGGGGCTGGGTTGGGTACGGGCACTGAGGCCTCCCTGCCCCAGGAGGGAAGTATGGAGGGTACCCCGGTCTCGGGGGTGGAGTAGAGGAAGGGTGTGAGCCAGGAAAGGATGGGGCAGGAGGTGGGCCTCTGGACGGAGACCAAGAGTAGCCTGGTGCTGAAGACGAGCCTCCGGTCAGAGGCTTGGGATACCCCGGTGTTGGGTCACTGGCCTGCGCTGGTGGGTATCCAGGACCTGGAGGAGGGTTATAGGGAAATGTGGGCTGTGTGCTGGGCTGAGAGGAAGCGACGTGTCCCACGGTGACAGGGGCTCCAGAGAAAGGAGCAGGAGGGAGAGCTCCATGGGCTGTGGGGCCCACTGGCATGCTTGGAGCTGGACTGTAGGGCAAAGGGAAGGAAGGTGCCCCAGACGGGAAGGACTGTGGCTTCTGCTGCTCTGCAGGCCCAGGTACGTGAGGAGGTAGATGCTGCTGAGAGTCTCTGCTGGGCTCCTGCGACACTTCTGACTTCCTCAGTATCTCCTGAAGCTTTTCAACTCTAACCCGGCGCAAGTGGGATAACTTCCTCATAACGGAAAACTGCTCGAGAAATGTCTCCAGGGGTACCTCACCCTCCAGGAACTTCTCAGCCATATTCTGGAACATAAAACAGCTTTGGCGTCAGTGCTGTTTCCCTCCACGCTTCTTCCCCAAACCTAGTTTAGGATTTATGTCTCTGTCGGAGACGTGTAGAGGACTGCTGTACCACAGAAGAGCAAAGAAAGGACAACCCATTTTTTTTCAGCAACTATGTCAAACTACAAAGAGATAATCCTTGATTTAAGGGATTAGGCTTGGGAGCATAACTGTAAATCTTCAACGACTAATCACTTGAATTACTGATGGATTTAAATCTAAAGCTCACCTCAGACTCTTCTTCAATTTTCTGACTTTCCACCTGCAGAAGATCCAACAAGGTCTGAGGATGCAACGCTGCTGAAAATTTCTCTGCGGAAAGAGAGGTAGGAGCAGAGCAAAAAGTGAAGCATAAAACGAGGCAAAATCATTAGCACATATCCCTGTCATGCAGAGCCTGCACTAGTCATCTGTTCCACAGCTCTGCTTTGCAATGTGAGACATACAACAGATAAAGCAGTAGGAGCTATCTTCTTCTCTGTCACATCTCTGTTCCCCTCCTCACTCTCACAGGAGAAGCCTTCCTACCTTGGAAAATGTTGATGTGAGAAGAAAATCTGAAGAGGAAAGAACTTTAACCATAGCTGCGCTGGAAGAGTTGTATGCTGAGACAGCATCCTTAATCTGTCCAACAGAGTCTGACCAGGAAACGGGAGAAAAAAGATTTTACATACAATAGGGTCCTTTCTGCCACCACCCTGCTTATCTAAAGAGCTTCTCAATCTGCTCAGTACAAGAAAGAAGGACATTGCACTAACTATAGCCTACATGCCTTCACAGGAAAGAGCGCAAGGTTTCGAAACACTCACCCAGTTTTGCCTTTTGCTCTTTACACCGCTCAGCTAGCTTCTGCAGCTCCTCATATTTGTTGGAGAGGTCAGTGCGCCCAGTTTCCAGTGGTACCTGGAACTTCAGGTTCTGCTCGGCCAAGCTCCGGTTAGCGGCAAGAGCCATCTCCCTTTCCAGCTGCAGCTCCTGAACCTGAGAAAGGAGGTCCAAGAGCCAGTGAGGGGCCGCACATCCTAACCAAGTCCAGCCCTTCCTTGCCCTTGCAGCAAAGTTAATCCATACCTCCCTCGACTCCAAAGCCAGGCGCTCAATCTCCTCAGCATTGTCTTGCAGCTCCTGGAGCTCCTCCACCGTCCGGTTCTTCAGCGTATCCATCCTGCCAGAGGAGCTGCAAACTCCTTAGATGGGGAAAGGAAGGCAAATAAAGACTAGGTTTTCTAAAGTCAAGTATGTATTAGTCAATAGATACTAATCGTATTACAGATTAAAAAATAGCCTTGCTAAACTACTCCAAACAACTATGCTAGAGAAGTTCCATGCTCTAAAGAAGCAGCGAGACTGAGGGCAGAGCGAGAAGAAAAACACAACATCTCTAATCACTTCTTCTTTGGTAACTTATTTTTTCCTTTTCACCCAGTACTTGCAAGGACTACTTGTGTGTGCCAGACATTTTTGTCAAGGAAACACCTACTCACATCCACTTTATGCTAGGACGACATCACCCTGATTGTCAAATTCTCAAACTCCAGCTGGCTTTTTTGCACCATCCCATCCAATATTTGTGTTCTGCTAAACAAATCTCCCAGATCTGTTTATATCCATCCATGCTTAGGAATCACAAACACTGATGTGATCACCTTTGTCACATGGGTCTTCCTGTATTTCTAACTCTCCAATTCCTCAATTCCTGTCTCATTTTATGTATTTTCTTTTTAGCTACATGGTGCCATCACCTCTCTTGCTTGTTGGTAGTGTCCTTATGCATAATGCTATTATTGAATACTTACTACACCGTGAACTTGATTCAATACTCACAATTTTGAAAACCAGTACAATAATATTAGAATCAGTGAAATAACAGATTTGCTGCACTACTGTCCGTGATTTATTCCCAATACCTTCTGACTGCCTTGCAACAGTTAGCAAATATTAAACATTCATATCACGGGTTCTAGGAAAGATGTGGGGTGTGATACAGCTGAATTCAACAGAAAACAGGAAAGAAACAAAGGAAGAGTGCTCTCCTGCAAGAGGGAAAGAGGCATACCAAATGGACTGCTGACAGGGACTCCTCCGTTGTCCTAACTGCTCTTGGCTCTTCTACCTTTGGTCCAAATGAAACATCTCAAAGATATCGTTCTGTAAGTGTTGCATCAGTCTCTACAAGTAACACAGAGCGTCAAGCTCACGTTCAGGATTACAAAGCCTCTTCACTCAGGATCCGGTCAAACACATCTAACGAATAACCACGTAAAACCAGGCTGGGAAACTGGCTCCCCCACCACATACATGCATATACATGCAATGTCATCACTCTGCAATCAGAAATAAGATTACGTGGAGGGGGTGCGATTCTATCAAGAGGGCTCACAAAGTGTAAGACAGGAAAAGTAGGAAGAGTGGCAAACGGCAACCTTATCCTCTGCGGTGGTAACAGACCGAGACGTGGCAAATGGTAGGTGGGCAGATTCTGAATGGCACAAAGGAAGGTTGGCACAGAGAGCTGGCCACGGCTGCGTGCGCAGCACGGCACCGCAGGAGGCAGGGGCTCTCCTGGCTTCCGTGGGCAGCAGGAGCTAGCGTTGCACACAGCGCTACGGCCCGACCGGTAAGGTGACAAGCGAGGCCTCGCCTCTCTGAGAGACAGTACTTCCTAGCTCCCACCGGTCTCGGACTTGGGGCAGCAGCGCGGACCGGATCCCTCGGCTCAGAAACGCCGGGGGCACCGCCGGGCACG